ATATTTGAGAAACAGTTTAAACTACAGAAATTTATTTTTGCATACACATCACTAGCTACGTTTTCGCACCCTACTCGAATTTATTGGACGTACTAATGAATGGTTACCCTACCATATTGTGTTTTCGCCGAAACTTATACGCAACCGGAAAAGGATTCCATTTGGAAAGCAAATACTGAAGCGTCAATGTATTTTACACAAAAAGTTTTATTGGTTTGTTGCGCTAAAGTTAACCGTTTTCGGGAAAAGTGGCATTTTGTGAACAGAAACACACATTTTCCTAACAATATCCACACTATGGATCAATAAACCCAGACAGCTTTTTTTAACTCAGATTCATTGACGCTTCAACATTCACTCTTCAGATAGTAGTTCTTCCAGTGGCGTATAAATTAAGAAGCAAAACCCCATACGTAACCACTTTATGTGCATATACGATTAATATCTCCACCACTGGCACATTCAATGAATTCGAATAGGATCCGAAAAAGCAGCTACTAGCGTTTGGAATGTGTGTACAAAAGCTCAGTTCCGTACTTCAAAGGACTTCTTACATATCCGCAAAAAAAATTAACAGAAATTAAACTTTTGAGAGAAAATGGAAGACTAAAAACGGTTTCTTTCTAAAGAGCAAGCTTCAGTTATTTAAGATCACCTTGTATACGACCAATTTTGAATAAATTATCAACAACAAACTTTCGCATGAACTACATACTTTAAAACGTTGTTAAAGCGGGATTTTCCTGATTATTTGCGACAAAATCCCTTGGAAAGCAAAGACTAATTTCCGCATTGACCTCCCAACGAATTTTCAAAACACTCGCTTGCGCTATAATTAAAAATCCTGCTGAAGCGAGCTTTTTGCTATTAAAAAGCTGATTGTTCAGTTTAAGAGACAAAAAAAGCAAAAGGTAATACATGAAGCTCTTACCGGAAGGTTTCACCACAACACTGCAACAGATCAGAACAAAAGGGTGGAAAGGTACTTATATAATGGGAAAAGTTGTCATGGAAACTGATAAGGCTGATATTGGAAATTATCCAGTTTTAATCAGAAGAATGGATGGTGGGGTGAAACCTTCTGGACTAATCTCAGAGCTGAAGTGCATCAGTAGAAGAAAAGCATTTCCTTTCTGTAAAGGATTTCTTTAAGCCATCCGGATACCAAGTGGGACTCAAATTATAGATTTTAGCAAACTTGAAACCGCCCTTCTAATTCCTCTAGTTAAGGTATTTTTCTTGATCAACAGGAAACATTTTTTGGATATCAAATTTTAAAGTTTTTTATATTGATTTCTTTGAGTTTCATTCTTATTTTCTTAGAGTTTTTATTATATTATTGGTTCCATAGATTAAGTATTTAGTTTTAGTTTAGGTTAGTTGAACAGACCTCAGATGCTTTGATCTGAAGTACTGAACCTCGCCTTTTCGTATTATGAATTATTTCAGTTTTTGTTGTATTATGGATATTGGCTAAGTTAATAAGAATAAAGTCCTGTATTATTATGTATCATTTTGGGAACTCGTACGTTAAAATTGCTCAAACACTGCATGTGAAAGGACCGTTATCATTCCTGAACATTTCCTCCATGATATTTTGCTCAAATATTTGCCCAGGTTGATAATGCTATATTAATTTTGGGGATTGACAAGCAAACCTTGCACAGGACACAATCATCTATCAATATATTTCAAGGATTTAGGAAACATTATTGGTTTGCAGTTTGAACGGGTACATATGAGGGATTAAATCAATTTCATTGAAACATTTTCGATTTGTTTATCGAAATGCGCAACAGTTGCAATCGAAAATTTATGGCGTCATTATGGCTTTAAGTAATTTAGACTTAATTAGACCCGATTTAAATTTGCAAATCTAATTATGTAGTTGTGATCATCTAATTGGTATCGATTTTTAATCTCTCAACACGCAAATTGTTTTTTTGTTATCAGTTAGGAACAACAAATACAGACATTAGATATGAAATTATTTATTATTTGCCTTGTTTATGCACAAAATTAATTGAAAAAAAGTACAACGTCCAACATTTTTTTTATTTTGTCAACAAATCATGAAATCATCGACTTGCCAGCGTGCAATTTCTGGGAAAATAATAAGGTTTCAACAAAAAAAAACGTTTTGGTGATATTAGGGACGCTCTTATCTCCCGTGTTAACACAAATACCATCTGGCTGTTTACTTTCGATAAGAACATTTAATATTGTTACAAGCTAGACGGAGTGTATGTTTAGAAGTTATAATGCGCGATAGCTAAATTCAACTGGCAATATTGGAACCTTAAAAATCCATAAATGGAAACGTTTGGACCTTTATTGCTATTCTACTTTCCGTTTTAATTTCAATATGGCCGTATACCGGGTGATGGAAACATGCGAAAGAAAAAGGAGTTTTACAAAACGAACACGTTGTATCAGCCCTAATATGAGCATGACGCTGCCCTGGGAGCCTTTGGCAAAATAAATTAGTCAACTCCACAATTTTGCCTAAATTTCGTCGAAAATTATTATATTTACCGTACTATCAACATCAAGTTTCCAATCCTTTTGGAATACTTCTATATATTTATCGCAAATATGCTCATAAAATACCGCGCAAAAATAAATCCGCAACAGTTGTAATATTCCCAACATTTTCTGATTCATCTATTTTTTGTCTTCATGTCTTTAGATATTAGAAATCTCTGACCAAACCTAATGAAGGAAAGGCGATTTTCGGGACGCTCTCTCTAAAAGTCTCCAAAATGCTCTAAAGATTAATCAAATATTTTTAACCGTTTTTATGTGTATGTATCATTTTTCAATCTTCTACTGGCTGTAAATATTTGTCAGATTTGTTCCTAACTTTTTTATGATTACGTTTTCCGATTAAACCTGATTAGAAGAAGATAGTACTCCAGATTCATCCATAAAATCAACCGTTTTTTCAATCAAACGCTTCAACCAGCAGTGGAATCTTTCGATTTCTCTAAATGTTAGGAATTTTCGAAAAACTAAAAAATTAGGAACTTTTTTTTTTCATTTGAATAAAATGTAGAGGCAAAAACATATAATTTTTAAAATTTTACGTTTTCTTACTTTTGAAAGGATCATTAGTAAAAGGTCTATAAGAAACGTCGTACATTTTTTTTAGTATTTTCAGGCGTTTGTGAGATATAAACGGTTTTGAACTTTTATAGCTCTTTAAATTTTAATATTTTGGTTCTATCCCTTTAGAGCTGACAAAGTTCGGATTAAACTTAATTGGTAAAGACTCTTTTCCTCGGTTCCATATATGCGGATATTTAAGGAATTTTTAAGGATATTAACTTCAAACCTGAAGGAAAGCGAAACGCATTTTTTTCTTTGCCACAGTATAGTTTAGAGCATTTTCTTTTAAAATACTTTATGTGATAATGGCGATATTTCTAGTCGTTTTCTATCTGAAGCTGATCAGAAAAAAATGTAAGACGTTCTGTTAGCCTTGTCTTTTGGGCCGTATCCCAGTTGTATGCTAAACTTCCGCTCGATATATTGAAAATTGGGCAAAAAGTTTTATTCTACGACAAATATTTTTCTTTTTATTTGTTAGACCTCTGGCAAGCTAGAATACTGGGCCTTAAAATATTCGAATTTAAACTAATTTTTTCTTGTATATTTAGTGAAAATCAATCACACTTTAGAGAATGTACATTTTTGCACATTTATGGTCTATGTTATCCAGTGAATAAAACTGCACATATGTTATGCTAGAAGCAGATTTTTTCTTGGTAAGATAGATTTTTTTTAACCCAATGGTTTTAAAATAAGATAAGCGAAATATGTATTATGTAGGAATTAGTCATGGAACAAGTTATCGACTAAGCCATATTTCACAAGTAAAAATAGAACAAACCTACTTTGCAAGCAAAATATTATGAACATAATCGGCACAAAACATTATCTAATCGAGTCCGACTTTATTGGTTCTATATATTGATCCTACGCAAAATCGATTGTCTCCCTATGTTGGAAATGCAGTGATTAAGAAACTAGTTTGAGCAAATATGAAAAAATTTAGGGCATTTATATCTGCCTATCGGGGCGGCCACGTTATACAACCTCTCCCGTTCTATTAATAGAAAATTGATTTAGTGGTTTTCACTTAAGGAGTATCTTTAAAAAAGTATGAATTGGTTTTGTCTGCAATTTTTTTCTTTCCTTGATACTGTTCGTGGTCTAAGAGGGTTTTCGTTAAATCGCAAACAATGGCAAGTCTAGTCTAAAGTAGGCACAGCATTGTCACTATCCGCAAAACTGTTCTATTAAGCTTTCATTAAAACCATTACTTTGAAAAATTGAAGAAAAATCGAAAACAACATTTAATGACTTTAATTATGGGATGATTTTCAGATGGGCATTTATATGAGATTTTCCGAAAAATGGTTTTGTTTTCAAGTATGTTGTTCCAATTAACACGATTTTCAACACATACTAAAAATGATCAAAAAACTAAACCTTGCTACTGCAATGCAAATGCTGAAATTGGGGTATTAATAAATCTCATTCGCCATTTTGCGCACAAAAGAATATTTACATTAAATCAACCGTTCAAGACTAATAATCCATAGAACGTGTTGCCTTGACAAAAACATGAAACTGACTATTTTCTAAATCAGAACTTGGCGGTTTCCTAAAATAAATAGATTTAATTATCGGGTTGACCTTAAATTCGCAAAAACTATGCTTCAACGATACTGCAGTAAGCAGGTTAACAACATATTCTGTCTAACAATAATTTGAATTCCATTGGGCTGGCAGAAATGTAGCTTCATTTATGCAACAATGGATTACAGCATGTTATCATCAAGACGACTGAAATTAGCGAAATTCATACAAATATTTAATAATAAATTATTCAAATGGCTCTATTGAAGTGTCTAAAACATTCAGGACAATGTCAGTGAGCTTTTATAATACTAGTCAGGTACATTGAGCAGAAATACAAATGTCTTTCGACTCACCCTTGAGTGGTTTTTAAGCTTCTCATTTTCCTTCTTCAAATGTTCGATCTGCAATAGAATAAAATGGTTTTAATGCTAGATAACCCACTAGTAGTAAAATGCATTGCACTGCACTCGCAAACATGTGACTATTAAAGTATTATTGCAATTGACATATTTAAAACTAGCCAGAACAATAGTAGGTAGTAAAGTTCAAGGCTCTTGCATTTTATGGTAACATTAATTCAATTAATTTTATTTACATTAAAGATTCGCCACATAGAAATAACATAACAGTTATCAGGAAACGTACCTCTAAGTCTTTTTGGCTGCAAAGTCTCTGATAGTCTTCAATTGTAGATTCTCTTGGCTCGTCTTCTGAAAATTATTGTTAAATAAATTTCTGACCCAAATGTAATTGTTGTGTGCTTCTGAGGCTTGTCGCTGTATTAGTTCACAGTACACCAGAATAATTTAACAAGTAAGTAAAACAGTTTTTATTGAATTTTACCTGCATCATCAGCCAAAACATTGGTAGCAAAGTTGCTAATTTGCCCCTTAATGGTATTAATACTTTCGTTGAAATTTAACCACCCGGACATTTCGATTATTTACACTCAGATAATATGGTTAAACACTAATGACACTCACATTAACTATTTAAAAAACTAGTTTCAGCAAAAATATTTTAGTGCTTTTGCCAACACTACTTTTGTTGACAAATTTCTTCACGGCTCACATATGACATATGCCAAAATACCAGAATCCAAATGAAAGTTTTCGAGTGACGCTCCTGAAGCTATACATTCAGCTATCCAACAAATAAATTTAAGAAAATACTCCCATTAATTCTGAGGTTTCCTTATTGATTCAAAACAGAAAAATATTAACTATTTAACGCTTCTAAAATTAAATAGATTAGCTAAGGAATTAAAATAAAAGTTTTGGTGTGAACGCGTTGACGTCACTAATAAGTCTCCCATGTTTTCCTTTCATGACCATGACTTTTTGATGTATATCAATGTCTGTGCTCAATGTCAATAAGATCGGCTTTTTGTATTAGTTTCATTAGTTTATTATATTTTTGTCACAGAAAAACAAGCAAAGCACAATAAAAAGTAACATGGAGGTATTGCAGCAGAATGTGAAGAATATTAAAATTCCAACCCAGTTGGACAAAGTGTATAAAGATGAATGCGTTTATTCCTTCGATAATCCTGTATGTTTGAGATAAAATTGGTATTTCCTTAAATAAAAATCTTATTTCTCAATGCAAGTTTGTCATGTTGGCGTGATTTAATTAATTAATTGCGTTATAATTGTTTGTTTTTTTCCAGGAAACCAATACTGGTTTATATGTGAGCTTAACTAGTTTCATTGGGCTTGGCAAAGATCATGTCGAAAGGCATTTTCTTCGGACTCAAGAGGCCGTGTATTTACATTTAAGGCGAGAGCGTCATGAGGTAAAAACACAATGCACGAACAATCCATAAATGCCACTTGCACTGCTTAAATCAAACTTGCAAAACGTTGAAATTTGGAACGCAAAATCTTCGTTTTGAAGCAAAGTAAATCTGCTACTTGGTATTGTCGAAAATGTACCAATTAGTATCATCTCATACCCAAATTATTCGAGTATATGTATAAAGCGATTGTCTAATTAAAAAGAAGTTTTGTGCGGAAAAGTAAGCAAGTTTTCGGCACGTTTGCTACTATCTGTGGAGGCAATTTATTTTTGGCCCTCATTTTAAAAGGAAATATTTGTCTGGGCTCTGCTTCATCAGCGAGTTAAGGTGAACTTAAGAAAGCGAACCATGTTATTTTTCGAAAATGAATACAATTTTCTTGAATTGTTTATCAATAACGAAATTATGTTATCAGTAGTAGTTCATGTGTCTTTTAGTGGAGGTGGTACTTTCCAGGCATTGAAAATTAATCATTTTGTGAATATTTGTGCGAAGATGTAGGAAATATTCATATTCATATTAACTCAAGTTTGTTATACCTACTAATTTTTTCCTGTTACATTCCGCTTAGAGATCTAAAGCCTGAATTTCGATAAAAAAAAATTGTATAAAAGATAACAAAATAGCGATCCATTTTAACTAATTTTATTTTTAAGAACGTTCAATTTCTACTCAAGTGTTCTGATTTCACTATCTATTTTAATGAGTCAGGTCTCATCACCACCACAGGGAGATGGCCCTGAGAAAAAAATTACTCGATTGGCAATTGGAGTGGAAGGGGGATTCGATCCAGAATCTGGAGCTAAAAAATTCGAATTTGAAGATTTTTATGAAATCATTGTTCTTCCTGGATTCGTTGCGATTGACTGGCCCAATGAAAACCTGCCAGAAGTTGTAAGTTAAACTTAACTAAAGTTGTTACTGCATGCATTTGCAAAAATTTGTTAAACTTTCCGGGATACATATTTTGCATACGAATTTTCTATCTTTGTAGGTGAAACTCTCAGTACAAGCTCTGCTTGATTTGCCTTCAGCAAGTAAATTGGCAGAATTGGAAGCGCTGAGTGGAACATGGGATGGTGAGTCCAGACAGGTATCCAAACATGCCCATAATCTTTTGCAGTTGGACAATGGGAAAAAAATCCCCCCAACAGGTAAACTGATTTAAATTAATTTTAACTTAAGTAGGAGTTCATGCTTAGTGTACATCTATAGGCTGGAAATGTGAAAAATGTGATAAAACGGAAAATTTGTGGCTGAACCTGAGTGATGGCTCAGTCTTATGTGGCAGGAAATTCTTTGATGGTTCTGGAGGAAATAACCATGCTGCCGAGCATTACAATGCATCGAAATGTCCTCTCGCGGTGAAATTAGGTATGTTGTTGAACTAGGCGTTTAAGCAAATTACCAAATTTGTTTTCCAGGCACCATTACGAAAGATGGAAAAGCGGATGTGTTCAGTTACAGTGAAGACGATATGGTAGAAGACCCGTTATTAGCCCAACATCTACAGCATTGGGGTACATTCGTTTTGTTTTCATTTTTATAAGAACTTTATTAAATTGCCTTTTTTAGGCATCAACATTTCCGATCTGGAGAAAACCGAGAAGTCAATGGTTGAACTGGAACTGGAATTAAATCAGAAGACCAACGAGTGGTCGATGTTATGTGAAAGTCATGGCTCATTGAAACCTATTTACGGCCCTGGTTTTACTGGCATGCAAAACATGGGAAATTCCTGCTATCTTAATAGTTTGATGCAGGTTCTATTCCGGTAAGGTTTTACTTAAAAAAAACTCCCAATATTAAGTCCCCAATATAGGATTCCAGACTTCATCAAAAGATACTATGAAGGTAGCGATGGAATATTTCAGCAGCCAACCTCTGACCCTGCCGAAGACTTCAGCATTCAAATGTAGGTGGATTTTAGCGCTCTATCTGTGTTCGACGGTTTAAAAGAGTTTTTAATATTACAGGGCAAAGTTAGGCGTAGGTTTGCTGTCTGGAAAGTATTCAGTGCCTCCGCCAGCAGGATCTCCTGTAGATGCCGATCCACCAGGCATAACTCCCTTAATGTTTAAAACTCTCATTGGGAAAGGACACCCGGAATTTTCTACTAAAAAGCAACAGGTAGGTGCTATCCAATTCTACTAAGACTAACAATGATAATTACATTTGATGCACTACGCTGAGGCATTTAGGTGAATTCAGAGGGGTCAATAATTTCTTGTGCGCCTCAGCAATGTCTTGACGAAATTAATGGTTATTAGCGTGTTTTACTTTGTTTTCTATATTTAATTTTCAAGTAGAAAACTACATATAAAGGAATAATGACTTAATAAAGAGCAATTCCAAGGCATCTATATTTTTACCCAATACATATTTAATACAGATAATACAACATACGTTACGAATCGTCGGGCCTTCGTTTTGTTCGTGTTTATATTGCGTTCCGTGTTCCGTTAACGGGCAAAATGTTAATCGAAAAAACAGAAAAAGATGTTCATCAAAAATAACTGCAATTGCCGAAATAATTAAGTAATTCGACTGATGATCGTAAAACAAGACTAATAAATTAAATGTTTAAAACACTTTCTGAGTTTTTGAGCTAATTCACAAAATTAGCCAACTGCAACAAGAAAATATAAAAAAATAATTTTATAGAGTTATTATGAAACTAAGATTTATTAATTTTTAAACACACATTTGCCAAGCTGGTAAAAAATTGGATTATGAACGATTTTTTTCCAGTAGTTTGGACGATGCGGACTTTTAAAGAAAGTAGCGCACTTATGTAAAAAACATTCATTGTGAGAAGCTGCCAAAACTCATGATTCTGGACAATTTGTATGAAACTTTAGTCAAGGGTCTTCTAAAGATGTTGAAAATTTAAAATTGCTATTTAATTATAACGCAAACGATACGAATTATTAAAGGAGAGAACGCAGTTGAATAAAAACATTCATTTTGAGATTGAGATTCTGGACGATTAATATGAAACATTCAGCATCTTTAGAACCAAGTGTCTTCTAAATTTGGCAAAAGTTCCAAATTGCTATTTGATTTAGTTTGGAAGATGTGAATTTTTAAAAGTCAAAACACAGTCGAGGAAAAACATCCATTATGAGACCGATATTTACTAAACTGCAACTCAGGATTCGGCGCGATTTTTATGAAATTTTTAGTATCTTTAGAGTCAGGGTTTAAAGATGGTCAAATTTCTATTTGCTTTATATTGGGCGATGCGAATTTAAGGAGAAATAATTTTAAAGTTGAGTAAAACCATCCAGAGAGATTGATATTTCCTAAGAAGGCAAAACTAGGTATTCTGGGCGATTTTACAAAAAGGCAATATTTTGTATCTTATTTTTCATTAATGCCTGAAAAATAACGTGTACACTTATGATTTTTTGGTTTAATTTTTATTAACATCTATGTTATGAGGTAAACCGCAATACGACCAGCTTTCTATATTCAAAAACAGTGCGTTTTAATATCCAATGTTTAATGAGCGATATTTAATTCGTTGTTTGTTGATGATTTAAATTAGTTTCCCATGTTTTCAATTCTCAATCTTAGAGAAACAAGCAAGAAAATAGGCGAGTACAAAAAATATGCTAAACGTATGATGTCTCTTTGCAGGATGTTCAAGAATTCCTACTTCACATACTCACGCTGCTCGAACGCTATAATAAAGACAAAGTAAATCCTGGAGAATGTTTCAAATTCGAAGTGGAAGAGCGATTTCAATGCGGTCAGAGCAAAAAAGTGAAATACCTAACCCGTAGCGAAGTGTGCTTGGGGCTGAATATTCCCATGGAGGCTGCAGTCAATAAAGAGGAGGTTGGTTGATCGGTAACAATTAAATGTTCCTCACATTGAAGTTTTCGGTTTTTTTTTAGGTAGCAGCTTATGAAGCACGGAAACAGGAATTGGAAGTTCAGGGCAAGAAACCTGACCCGGAATCCATTGTCAGACCGAAAATTAATTTCCATTCTTGCATTGAATCGTTTGTGCAATCGGAAGTTATTAACAACTTTTTCAGTTCCGCGGTCAATGGCAATGTAACAGCTCGAAAGTAAGTATTTGCAGTTTTTTAATGCATTTATTTGCATAACATCCAAATATTTGACCTTAACTACGTCTAAAACATTTAAATCATTAACTATTCCATTTAGAACGACAAGATTGGCAACGTTTCCCGATTACCTGGCGATACAGTTAAAAAAATTCACACTAAAGGAAGACTGGGTGCCGATTAAACTAGATGTATTAATAGATATGCCCGATGTTATTGATATATCAACGTTGCGTGGAAGTGGTATTCAACCAGCGGAGGAACTTTTACCCGAACTGGAGGTGCCTCCACCAGCGCCCAAATTTGACGAAGCAGTACTGGTACAGCTTCAAGAAATGGGTAAGAAATTTAATTGTCAATCGAGGTAACAAGTGCAAAACTTATTTTTTCTTGATGTAAATAGACTGGAAAGAACCTTTTTTAAATAATTTTGTTCTAGCTCTCTTTGTTTAGGAAATAATCCACCGTTTCCATACATAAAAACATCTAACATATCTAAAATTAAGTAAATCGAATAAAAATTATTTAGCTGTTTGATAAAATGGAATGCTAGTTTTGGTTACTGGTCAGACTAGATTTGATGCCTAAGCAGACAAATTTCTCAAATCTTTTTCAATTCTGGAGCTTGCAAGTTTTAAAATTGTAGCCCTGCATGTGCTAAATTTAAGCTTACCCCAATCAAATGCATTATTTATTTTTATATTGATCGGAAGCTAAAGGTCTGAAAATACTGGATCACTGCCGTAAAAGATGTAAATCGTTTTCAAGTAAAGTAATAGTACTTTGGCTATTCAACTTGCAAATAGCAATTGAGTTTCCTTTGGTGTATCTTTCATTCTCGAACAGTTTCCAACTTTTTAATATTTCGACAATTATTTCAGGTTTCCCGGCCGAATCATGCAAACGTGCATTATATCAAACTGGAAACTCTGGGATCGAAGCAGCAACCGCTTGGTTGATGGAACACATTACCGACTCTGACTTTAGCCATCCGTTTGTTCTTCCCGGTAATTTATTTAAAAAATCACTTGTCTGTTAATTGACTTATTTAATTATCAGGGACAGAGTCTTGTGCATCCGCTTTCATACCAGACCCTGAAGCGTTGCAAAATATCATTTTAATGGGTTTCACTGCCGAGCTGGCTGCTAAAGCTTTGAAAAACACCGACAACAACGTGCAAAGAGCCATGGATTGGATCTTTTCCCATGCAGATGATATGGAGACGGATGAGAGCGTGGCGTCTGCTAATCCGAACCCTCAACCGAAGTTTAGGGATGGAAATAGTAGTAAGTGTCTCAATTAGTCTCAAATTATTTGCGTTCTTTCGTGCACGCTTTTGGTTGTATTTGTTTAGCAAGTAACGCGATATTCTTGATCTTTTGCCTTATTTTCAGAATACAAGTTGATAGCCTTCATTTCTCACATGGGCACCTCGGCCTCTATGGGTCACTATGTGGCTCATATACTAAAAGATGGCCAATGGGTGATTTTCAACGACAGCAAAGTGGCTCTTTCGGAGAATCCCCCTAAAGATTTGGGCTATCTCTACGTCTATGAGAGACTTTAAAAAGTCCGTAAGTCAAAATAGATTAATTGTACGTTGAAATTACAATATTGGTTTTTTTGCGTTGTAAAATGCGGCCTTTATAAAATCAACTGCATTTTAAAGCAGTTGATATTATATGGAACTGGCTTTATGTGTTTACTGTTTAATAGCTCCTGACTAGCGTGATAGTCATTAATTGAGCTCTTGTCATTTTCTAAATATACGTTTTTGATACGCAGTGTATTTGGTGGTTCATGCATATGTTGCGTCACATACGCGTTTTTCTCCTACGAAATATATGAGTTTTGCCATTAGCAAAATGTTTGTGTGCAAGAAGACAGTTTTATTGGTTGCAGCTCCCCTAAAGCCTTTCAGTATTAAATCACTGCCGTTCTGTGCAATCAAATGTGGTTTTTGTCTGCCAGCAGACAACTTCTGTCGCATTTTGAACAAAAAAATCAGAACTTTGGCTTTTTCAAACATACTTTATTTGAAATATATCTTTGATAAAGAACAATATAATGGTATCGATAATTACTGTTTGGAGACAATGTTTACTCTTTTGGAATACATATGCCCGCATCGTTTTGGCAGTAAGTAGAAAGACACCAACAATTCTGGGTCAGTTCTCCAGGGCAGTTTGTTAGGGTGTGAAATGTGTTACACTTGTTTGCGCATTCATTGCTATATCTTGAACGAAGATTGGCATTTGAATCGCACGGACAGTTTTCGGGTGAAATACATGTATAAGTGTTAGTGTCCAAAACGAAGCCTTGCTTGCAATAACAGTCTGCTTTTAAGACTATCGGCTGAATGCAGTTGCCTTAAAAAAAACCAAGGCCTTAGTATTAGAGAATCGTGGCAAATCTGCGGCATACCGGGATTGTTAGGGGAGATAAATTTCGTAATGCAGGATCCGGTACAATTTTCATTGTCCATTCGCCATTCCGCATTAGGATCGGTACAGTTTTCCGATCTTGGCTCGGTTACGTCTCCTAAAAATGAAATTAAGCAAATGGGGATATTTACCTAAAAAACTATTCACCGAGAGTATTGACGGCAGCGTGAAGAGTTACACAAGAAATTAGTGTGAAATACCACATCGCTGCACCTATTCCTTACACAGCAATAGTAGAATTGAACTCCAAATGCATTTATCGCTAATATGCCAATTAACAGTAAAACGACGAAAGTAGCCCCGCTTATTAACAAATACAACAGTAAAAAATATTATTTTAAAAATAATCCCAATGCAATTATAGGTAATTATTAGTGTACTTCACTTCCCCCCAAACACGACAAAGGTAAAAACTAACTACAAGCATTATATCGGAGATTTTTAAACGAAATTCGTAATTATAATTTGTTTGAGAAAATTGCAACAATTACAATTTACCATTATGTGTAATACACGGCCATTGCAAACGAATATGTCAATTAAGTTAATCATTTATTAGCTGATAAAATACAGATTATTAAACATAAAGCCTTAATTGTAGAAATTAAATAATAAAAATATTCCTTGGCATTTTGTCACTCGTAACTAAATTCGAAAGGCCGCAAAACGTGTAAAACGCAAAGCAAAAAAGTTAGGGATCCATATCTTACCTTTACTCGTAAATTGACCTCGATTTTATCATCACAATGTTTTTAAGTTCGTGTTTTGATACGGACAGGTAGTTAAAAGCTTTTTATCTATGAACAAATTATGCGCTCTTAATTTAAAACAATTAAAGAAAGGCCTTTTAGAGAATCTTCGCGAGAGCCCCATGATACACCCCGTTTAAATAACATGTATTTGTTTAAATAAGAAAAAAGAGATCGATGAAATAGTGCATTGTTGAGATATATCAAATTTCTCTTTAAAGGAATGTTAGTATGTTGGCTGTGTTAAATGCATCACAAATGAGAGTTTCACTTTGTCTTTGGAGACGGTCAACTTTATTTTCATATTAAAAAATAATTATTTGCTAAGAAATACAGTTGTGAAACTGGTTTTGAACATTTTCGTTAAATCTCCCTTACTTTTTCACTTTGGTCATCTTAACCTAGGATGTATAAGAACACGTATAGAGCAATTGGCAACTTGACTTAAAATATAAAAAATGTGATATGCAATAGGGGCTTACTTTAAAGTATTTGCATTAACGCTTTAGTAGGGAGAACAAATTAAGTGCTTAATGAAAAATACTAAATTCTAATATTGGCAACGTAAGATTAGAGGATTACAACCTAAAAGAGTAACAAATCAACATTTAATATAATGTTTTGGTGATATACGTTTTAGAACTCATTGATAGATCGTTTCCATAGCATCGGTTTTATTGCCCGGTTTTTTGGAAATCGAGTTGTTGCATTTAAATTCGTATACCCTGCTGTCTCAAGACAAAGGATGTCATTATAATAATAGAAAATCCTCTTGACAAAATGACTAGAACAATGATTAAATTAGCATAATGATGCTATAAGACAATTACTTTCTGGAATGGGACGCTTTCGTTCTACATTAGGAAGCTGAAAATGGAAAAACACCATTACAATTTACAGAACATTAACAACGAAATGCAGTCACAGTTAAGTACAAATTACACCGTTTAAAAAATCTTTGGCATCGTACGAGATCTATCAATGATTTCCAAGACTGAAGAGAAGAACTTACCCTACATTATACTAATTAGAATAATCGATCTCAATCAACGGCTCCCAGCATTATATGCGCACTTAAACCTAATATAACCTTTTTACCAATTAATTCTCTCTGTATAACCATGCACATGTTTTTGGTGATTTATTTAAGTTTTCTAAAATATATTGTTGACGATTGTTTATTGTCAACATTCTTTGTTTAAAGAATGACAATATTTGCGATTCAAATATAGTGACTTACCAATAACACATTTTAGTAAACCAATTTCTGCACATTACACAGAAAGAAAAATACTTTCTTATAAACTAGAATGATTTGCTGTCGGTTGGAAATTTGCAAAATGTATATAAATAAATTATTTCTGGACTTGTTTTTAATAATAATGATTGAAAATAACATGACAAGTTAGTTTTAGAATAATTCCTCTGTTAGGAAGAATTTGAAATATGATGCTATGTACAAGACGTTGATTTTGTCAAATCAACATCAAAATTAGTTAACATTATCATAGTAACAAATAATAAAAATAAATATTTAGATTTTAGTTTCCTTTTGGCAAAATAGTTGTTTGTGCTCATGGAATGCATTACAATTTTTGACCATAAATTATTGTCGAGATTTCAATACGATTTTTTTTTAATGTATACGACATTAAATTAAAGCGAACTATGAAATCAATAAAGCAGCCTAATTGATTATTTTGGGAGAAATTGAAACAATTAATTTCAGTTAGGAGAACAAGGATGTGAAATTAAAAATACTTAATTTTTGATTGCTGATGCACGGTTAATGTGTTTCAGTAAAGACTAATTTGGCTCTACCAAAGTGATTGGCGATGAGAACACCTTTATGCATCAATCACTTTAAAAGTAGAGCCCATATTCTACAATATATGGAGTTTTAGATACATTTCGATTAATTACAAGGCGACAGCATAGTTTTGAGTTAGATCACACACAACATTCATAATTATGTCCTCAATACAGTTCCAAATTCAACATGACAGTGCAATTATTTTAAGGAGACAATGCGTTCCACAAATTTTCGTTATTATAAATGTTTTATTTTTTACCTGCATAAAAGCTACTAAAATATATCTTAAAATGTACATAGCTGAAATCGTCTAAATTCGTAAATATACGATGTCAGTTTAATAATGTTATAATATCGACTATAACTATAGTGTTGTATTCGGATAACGTCATTATAATGTCGTACGGGAAAGTAAGAAAGAAATGAAGCAAACATATTACATCAGTTACGTCAAGTTAAGTAGGAAAAAATTAAAAATATTTACAGCAAATTAATTCCAGACAAAATATACCAAGTGCAATATCCAAATTCAAAAATAACCCACGATAATGCATTCACAATCATTTAGATAATCATGTAAATGTGATTCACTAAAAAACTTTATATACCATCTTTAGGGAAAGTGAGTCTGACTCTTGGAAATTTTTTGCAGTTAAATTATTTTGCTAACATGGTGTTTACATGCTATATTAGCAAAATAGAACTAACTTTTTCAAAATGAAATAAAGTACAAGGTTGGGTGGAATCCAGCATGTTGAATTTGAAACCAAAATATAGAAAGAACCAACCGAAGCGACACATTTAAAACAAGTAATTCTATTTAAAGCTTTAACTTGACCCACGTAAATGGAATAAAAATACTTATGACTGAGATGCTTACATTTACGATTTGCAAACACACACAATTGACAGATAAAGTACTTTTCTAAGGACCATTATGTTTTCTAATAAGAAAACTGGCTCTAATTGAAGATGAACCATATTGAGTATTTTTCGATTTGAAAAAATAGAACTCGGAGTAAAGTGAGCAAAATGTGTGTGGGAATTTATGCTAAAACGTAAGGCAACAATGTTCTAATATGAATGACTAACGTAAGTAGAGCATAATTAATCAATAGAGCCTATTGCATTTCGAGTTTAATTATTACTTCATAACGTTTGCATCGTTTAAAACGTTCATAAACTGTATAACATCACGAAAATAATTGAAATCCTTAAATGTACTGAAACATACATTTTACTTTTGTTTCTTGCCATATCTGTTTCAATAATTGCACTAATCTAATTTTTGTCTAGCTTGGTTGTGTTTTGCATTGTAATACTTATCTTACACGCGATATAAACGCAATTACTATTGTAAATGGGGTTATATCAAGAGTAAATGGTGTTATATCGCGTACTTACCTACCTTGTCACCTAAATCTATAAATACACATCGATTTCAGGCACATAATTGATTTTCATTTTAAATATATCTCCAATTTGAGTACCCACATAGATTCAATAAAAAATCAAGCGCGTTTCTCTGAAGGAATATCATTGCAAACGGCATACGGTGGATTAATTCGATAATGCTTGGACATTGTACCACAAATATTGTAGAAATTTTAATCGTCATTTCTCGAGATCAAAACCAAAAGAAGGACGATCCTCCGAAAAAAACAATAGATGTGCCATATTCATAAGATTTTTGACTTAAGAAAGATCACCGTAAGAGTTTATAGTAAAGCTGAAGGTGATCGCCCCTCAAGCCCACGCTGGCAATAAAAGTTAAAATTAATGACTCCGCTTTTAGAAGACCTGAGAGTTAACAGATCAATTTTTTTTGGTCAGTAATGTCGGAAAAAATGTAACTTAGCTGCATACTACATTCTGCATAGGAATCTTGTTTAAGCTGTGGAAGACTCCTAAGCGAAATACATTACTTTCTTAGTATCAGCATGCACCGTGATTGCTCTGGCCATGGCACCTGGTGTGCGATCCTCTGAGGAACCCGATTGGTGAGATCCTTCTCCGCTGAAAAAAACAGATCAGAAACAACGATTAAAGCGAACGTTCAAGTTATAGTAGAGCGATTTAAGCGAACTGACCTGTCATGTTCTTTTTCAACTAAGTGATACCGAGCCCTAAATGCCACAAGATGCGCATAATAAGCTGGCGCGGGGATTGAAACTGAGCGTGTACAACGCACATACGTATGGCACAATTGGTAAGTGAGACATTGTAATTCATCAGAGTCCAAGTGGGAATCATCCCATAAAACGTGATAATGTGACGGCCTTGATGTACCCTGAAAAAAATGAATTAATTATATATTAATTAACAATAACATATCTTACTACAACAGAGATTAGAATACGTTTTGTTTAATTTATAGTAATCCTGTTTTTAAAGTGAATCTAAATATCTTTATCAAATCCATTTCTAAGTTCACTGTGTCCCAACGCTACTGCACACTAAACGTAAGTAAAATGAAAAATTAACTTACTTATTCACAGGCAATAACAAGAAAAAAATAATTTAAGTATTATGTGAGAATGTGGGGTATAAATCAAATTGCAAAAATGCTACATACACATCTAAAGAGTTACTACATACACATCTAAAGGAAGTCTTCATGTCGCCGATTTTATAACAGCAAGTCGGATTATTTTAAAGATCCTGATCATCCGAACGAGAACAATGACGAATAATTTGCAAATCACTAGAAAATGGATTATGGATTGTTATGGCGCCAAACTAAAAAAATTCTATCTTAACAAAAATTGACTCACTTCATTATAGGCGTGGGTAACACTGTGTTGAGTTGCGCTTTTGAGTTGTTGCCGCACTTCGAATGACGAGCTTGTAATTTTACCACTTTATCGAAACTGTATTTTAAACGTGAAATTTGCCTTGGAAATTTTGCCATGCGAATAGTCACTTTCTACAAAAATGTCAACAATAAACAAACTGAAATCGAAATACCAAGCAAGAGCAGCGCAGTGAATCATGGAAAGGGTGAACATGGGGATTATTATATAATCACGTTTAATCTGAACTTCGGTGTCGTTTTTCTTTTGAAAAGGTGTAGGTATGAGTATTCAGTTTGCTGCCGACAGTGTCGTGTGAAACGCGTTCTTCGATGGGAAATATAGAATTATTTTTGCCCTTATGGCAAGTGCGGTAGTTTGTGAAAGTGTAGTGAAGTGGATTAATGGGTAGAAAGGGAGGATGAAGCCCCAGCTTACAGAAAACTGGTAACAATGATTTCTACTCTATAAATCTTTTAGCTTGAACTGAGTTTAGTTTTCCGGCAAGCAACTGAAGTTTTATGGATTTTTTATATTTATCTCTTTGGTTTGCTGATTACAAACAAGTTTGGCTTTGGACCGATTTGCTGCCGTACTAAACACATTTTCTTCTTTCTTTCCAGGTGGCAATACGCAGCCTGGTAAGTTTAGCTTTACTTTGCCCCTGGTTGCCATGTACATGTAGAACGTTTAGCCCCATATTCATCAAGTGACTCGTAGGGTGAATTTATTTGGTATTGGTTCTTTCGTAGTTGATTTTTAAACTTTTTGAATATTCTGGGCCGCTTTGTACTTTTACATCAAGCTCATCTAAAGCTTTTCTCTAAAGAACCGCTTCAGATATGAAAATTTGGGTTCCAGTATTCAATATAGGAAGCATTAGCCTACTGGTCGTGTGGATTTGGTTCCGATTAAACCTTTGATTCCTTCACAAGAACTTTTCAAACTTTGGGAATATTTTGTATTTTTACATCAGGCTCGTCTGAAGCTTGTCTCTAAATAACCATTTCAGACATGCAAATATGGGTCTAAGTTTTATGTTTTTTTTGCATAAAAGTCAGGGGTTTTAGTTTTGCCTGGTTTCTTTTAAATTGCGAAATCGAAAAACATGACGCCGCCTTTTTTTGACGTTGCTCAAGAACCATTTGAGCCACAGAGTTGGTTTTTAACTTATTGGATAGAGAATTGAAAACTCTATTCAGTTATGACAACGTGTGTGAGTAAATTCTGGTAGATTTGTCACAAAAAGTTACACGAAATTTGAATCAGACATTTGATGCAGCAGTTTACGCGAAAATTTACGTCTACAGAATGTCAAACTTTCAAGTTTCTACTGGCTTTACTTTGGAAGTTGGAAGAGTAAAACCGTTCATTTACGATACGCGCAAAATTCAGGATTTTATGCGATTTAAATTAATTTTTGAAGAAATTTTGCCGACATTTAGAGCGCACAACTCTGAACTTTTAGAGTATTTTTCGTTTATGAGAGATTTATTTTTGGGAAAGTCAATTCGAAATGTGTCCCGCAATAGTTCTTTGAAGCTTATTAGGTAGATCGCAATGTTTTTTTTTGCATTATTTTTTAAATATTTACCTATAGCGACTTCTATATCTGACTAATTTTTTAAAATTATTAATTTATTTAAAGAGGCACTAAATGCCGTTCAGACTTGGACATGATTGCTTCTATTTTGTTAAGTTTAATTAATTGAAAGACGTATTGAAATATACAAGAATGTCGAAGTTGTGGTGAACCCTTCGGGCACGACACTGATTTGAATATCAAAATTCAACTACAGTGGTTTTTCTTCCGAAGCGCAAAAAACCTCTAAGCCCATTGTTCGCTTTTCCCGCTCAATTAGTGAGTTTACGAATAAATGTTAAATTTATTTTTAATAACCCGTATTGTCTTACAATGAAAGTTTCTACATACCTGAATGCCTTGATGACTACACAAATAAAAGTCAAACTCGGTTGGATGTGTTATACCAACATCAACAGTTGTGCCAGCAGGTATATTTCCGCTTTTACCGCTTTGCTCTTTCTTGTCTGCGCAAAACAGCCTTGTATGATGCCGCTTTTGTACAACAATGAAGGTTATTCCCGGCTTGTAGTCGGTCTCGAGCTTAATACACGCCTCACGAATTGCAGTTAGTTCATGCTGGAGTAGTTGCAGGAATTGCCCTTCAGACACTCCATCTCGGTACAAGATTATTCGATGCGGTTTATAACCACCAGTTGATTTGTAAAACATAACTAAAAGTTCCCTGGAACATAGAACAATATTTGATAAGTCATGAGTCGTTTATCCTCAAAAGATGCTTAGTATCCACCAATCTCAAATGCGTACCTAACCATCGAGCTGAGTTCCTGTATAATCTCCTGTCTATGCTGCTGTACACGAACAGTAGCAGCGTATCGGGACGGATGAGCATCCATGGAGCCCACCACAGCAGCAATCGAAGGTTTCTTGTTATCGCCCGCTGGAGGATGAGTTACGTCGGCGCCCAAGAAAATGACTGGTTCGTTGAAAATCTTCGGGCGAATCGATGGTACAAGGATGCTGTTAATTCCTCCCAATTTCACATTGATTTTAAGACACAAGTTTGACAGAGTTTGGGGGGATGTTTTGTTAACGTTCTTGGCTTGAACACATTGCGTTGCCATACCCAGCACAGTATCTCCTACGCGCTTAACCTCAGCTGTAAAATTTTGGTTGGTAAAACGCAAGATTTCAATAATTCAAATTTTAATTACCGTAAACCGGAGTTTTCCCTGGCAAAACAACAACCACCAACTGCAAAGCTTGAAAAGTCGTTTTCAAATATCTAAACATCGGTTCGACTTGGTCAGGACCGGTGGCATATTTGCAGAAGCAGGGTTGCCCGATTATCGGCATTCCAGCATCGTTTGAAATTTTCTGTAGTTGTTGCGTAAAATTTCTAGAAACATTTCAAGGCATTAGGAAAAGTTTAACAACTGTGTAATCAGCAATACCTCAGTGCATCTTCTCGCACGGTACGCTGAGGAGCAAAACAAGCAATTGCCCAAACCCTAATTTCAACGCCAGTGAAAAACTGTTTCCCTCTCATATCCCACACACCTTGATTTGGACAGGCTTGCTGCTTGCTCTGAAACAATTAAATCACCTAATACTACTGATACCTAAGCACTAAAATAATTATACGTCTAATGTGAACAGAATAAATTATATTTTATAAGCAATTTGCCCCAACCATATGGAAGTTTCACTCGGAAGCTTTACTTACTGGATAACCGATTAATAAATATGCCGTTTAGAACTGAAAGCTCCGATAGTGGACAGTCACGGATCCACAAAAAAATGTCCGGTTATACAGTGAAAGTTCTAATAAGAGGACATTTCCTTTGGAACCGAATTTTGTCATATGGTTTTCAATGTAAAACACTTTTTTATAAGGGGACATTGTATTAAACGAACGGGGACATTAATTTTTCTCATAAGGAGTTAAGAAGCTTTTACACGCGGACACGAAGCGCTAATAAGTGGCCGACAACAGCCGACGAATAAAACCGTTATCATTCATTCGATAAATTCCTTCACATATTTGGTAATTCTCTGGTTTTAGATGTTTTGGTAGGACGTTTTCAATGCGGACTTTTCTTTCGTGCATTAGCAGACAAAATTTTAACATTCAAATCTGAGAAATGCACCGGCGGTAAGTTGGCTAAAGAAAGACTCACCATTTTCATCATAAATCAAACAAGAAAGTCTGGATGACTGAAGAGATGAAGAGAATGTCGGAATGATTGTAGGTCAGTTCGATAGAAACAAAAAGAAAATTGCTTCTATTTCTCGATAATGCAGGATGCCATCCTGTCAAGTCGAGCATTGCTTTATAAAGACTGGATTCAAGAAGACTACAGGAGAAGGAAAGTGCAGAAGAGGAAACATTTCTTCCTGATACTGCCGCCCTTTCAGTAACTGAACTTTTCATGAGTAGCGATGATGGCAAATCAGAAGAAACGTTGACAATTGCTTTAATGCTTCACTCATAAAATCGTACGATAAAGCCTTAAATGCAGTTTTCCTTTTAAAACATTTTCAATTATAAATTAAATTATTAAACGATGCTTTCATTGCGTTTCAACATCTTAAAAATCTTGAAACACATTTTCAACATTGCATTATTGAACAAAAATTTTAAAAAACGCGGTCAACAAGTATTTTAGAATATGTTAATAAACCGGCACAATAACATTCTAGGTTTCTATGTTGAAAATGTTATACAACACAAGAAAACAATAAAAACGCCGAAAATTTTATTTCTAACTTGCTCGCAATATTTTTCAAAGCACGATGACGAGCTGATTTTCCTATGACGAATAAATCCTTCTTTTCACCAGCCATTGTTGCCCTAAACAAAATCTAAAATTTTTCTTTAGAGAACATACCGCCGGTGCATTCTCACGTTTGAATGTGAAGGTTTTGTCTGGTAATGCAGGGAATAAAAATCCGGGTTTTAATGGTTTTATTCGTCGGTTGTTGTAGGCCGCTTATTAGAGCTTCCTGTCCGCTTGTAAGAACTTCTTAAGTTCTCATGAGAAAAATATGCCCGCGTCCGTTTAATAGAATGTCCGCTTATAAGACTGTTGTACATTAAAAACGATGTCGAAATTAGGTTCCAAAAAAAATGTCCTGTTAAGGGAGTCCACAAGTAGAGCCCTCACTGTATTTGCAAATGCAAAATATTTGTCCCATTTTAAAAACAAATTATCATTAAATTACAAACAATTCATTAGAATACACAATAAAATAAAAAAACAGACAACAAATAATTTTCTTTCCTTCTACCAGCAACCAACTTGTTTCTACTGACGAATATTATTTCGCGGCAGGCTCATTCCACTCTCAAGTTTCGAACATAAAAAATAATTTACTAATAGCAAAGATTGCAGATGCTGCTTAGGAAATGTAAAAAACATACATACAAAAAACATATTCTCCAAATAATCGACTTATATGAAATACAAAAAATTAACTTCATTTTAAATATATTTTAGAAATTGGTCTTTTTTTTTAGAAAAACGTCTGCAATCTTTGTACACTACTAAAACTAAAAAAAAAGTACAACAATGAAACTAACGTGCCAGCCCACCTGTCCGCTTAGGGATGCTACGCGCCCACCATATTGTAGTTTCGGTGGTGGCAAAATTCGCCCTCGAACCTCCATCATACTGGTCGATATCGTCAACCCAAATTCTTGAACATATTCGTCATTGTTGAAATCTGCTCTCCGTACTAGATTGTTGATCTCTCGTTCCCTATCTGGAGCAGATCTGAAAATTTCGATTGACGATAACGCCAGTTCACCAAAGAAAACGCTAATCTTTACCTGGCCGTGGCTTTAATCATGGTCGAGGTCTGCATGTCGGTCAACTTCTTGATACATCTTTGCCCAGCAACAATATTACAGACCTCCAATGGTAAGTAAGTGTGCTTGTGCTCCTGCCCCACCTTAAACATAAATTTCCACTGTGTAGAACCCCGCAGTTTTATATGCTTTGTTTATTCGCTTACTTGTAAACATGGTAAGTGCGGATATCTCAGTTTCATTTTATATTTATCCAAGAAGTATTTAGCAACAGTACATTCCACAGTCTGTCCGTTTTCAAGCTGCAGTGGGAACCTGTAATTATGTCCGATGTTTACCCAAACCTCCAACAAGTGTTCAAAGCAAAATTATATCTTACGATTGCATCTGGGCTGGTCGCCGAGTAACGTTACATACTCGGTATTTTCTTCGCATGGCCCCACAATGGGTAATTTCAATCTTCAAACCCTTGATCTCCTTTGTGAATTTAACCCGTTGGCTGTCCGTCAATGGTTTACGTTGCTCGTTAATATCTCTTATATCTAGGACTTCGCACATAAATTCTATCACAGGTTGCGCTTTGTAGAATGCTGTAGCTGACACTGAAAATTGAACGCGCGTAATAACAACAGAGTCCAGACAAATGGGAAAAAGCGTCTCAATTTACCATCTATATTGAGCATCATTTTCCATTGACTGGGCCGAACAGATTGATGAAATCCGAACCAAACTTCTCGTCCCCCTCCTGTAAAATAACGTAAATAATTGATACAAATATTTTTTCAACAAAGGTTTTTTCTTAACTTTTAAAACTGATTATATTTTTCTTTTTAATGTTGCTTAGCGGAATAATTTCAAAATACATTTGTTTTGCTCTTAGATACAAGCATATTTTAAAGTTGTTGATACTAAATTTTAACTCAATTTCAATAATTAATTAAAATGAGTTTAAACGATCAAAATGTAATTACTAATAACGCGCCTAGAAAAAATATAATCTGCCTAAAACTTAGACTACTTAACTCGTCTCTAGTGAACAACGACAAAAATCAAGAATATTCAATTCAAACCGTTTTACTAAAGACGAAAAACAATCAAAACTAATGCAGCTCATAATTAGCCACGGAAAAATGCCAAGAAAAATTGCATAATTGAAACATCCAACCATATAAAAGCATCACAATGATAAAAAACATTAATTTTAAAAATCAACTGCTCTGAAAAACATTATATTAATAAGGAGATACCTTCCAATTTCGAAAAAGCGACAATATTGGATATGAAAATGTATTAATAAACATTATTTATCACTGATATCATGGATACAGAAAAACAAACAAAATAGACATTAAGCTAAATAAAACATTTTTTATTATTATAATTGAAATGAAATAAAAATATTTATATGCAGTAACACGGTCTGATAGTGACGAAAGCAAAAAAGAAGCATTTTCTTAATCGGCATGCCTAAATCGAAAACGACGGATTATACAGGGTGGTCTACCTTCTCAGACCTTTAACGTTTAACATGAATTTGCTTTATAAAATATATTTCCTTGGATAACAAAATACAAGGTGTTCAAGGTAGAAAAAAAAATTATATTAATTAATTGTTGCTAAACGAATCATGGTATTGGAATGCAATTTAATAGGCATAAATCACCAATCGAAGAGGCACATTTTGCAATAGAAACTGTGATTTCATTTTGCCAGTGAATTATTACTTTAATTACATAGTGGCTAGCTATTTAATAAAATCAAACATCTTCTGAACTTGAACACCCTATAACGAGGCATTTTCAGCATATTTTCCAAAGCAAATTCACATTATGTTTGGATTCTCCATTGGCATCAAACATTTCTGCAGTGGAAACTGGACCATCCATATAATGGACTAAAAACGTTCCCTTTTATACTTATTGTTGCCGAACGTAATATGTATTATTAGGAAAATTTAATAGTCAACTTGCCTAAAGGATGGTAATATCCTTCGGGGCTGCTAAAAAAACTTCTGCCTACTGGAGTATAGCTCATTGATGGTAAGTGTCGCATCACCACATCCAAGGCCAAAATAGCTTCATATGGAATTTGCCGAGTGCGTCCTTCAAGCGCCTCTTCCAGACCATACAAAGATACCTGAGCAACCCATTTAATGCTGACCCGAAACAGCCGATCTTTTCCTTCGCCTGGCAGTGTGACTTCCAACTCCTCTCTAGAATTTCCGATAGGCAGCGGGTCCCGAGTATACAGGTTATTCCGTCCATCGAAAACAGGCTTTAAGGTGCCGAATATTTTCCCATAGGACTTCACCATCGTTTCAATGATCTCCCGATTGACCTGAAAACAAAAACGTATAAATAATTTAAAAAAATAATATAAGCCCATTTTCGGGGATTTTCCTCTGAATGAGTTGAGCCAGAAGGTTTAATATAGAGTAAGATGAGGCTCAAAGATAGATCCACATGCAAAGTGTTTTGTTCGTTGTTGGTCTGTGCAGAAAGCAAAATAAATACCTTTCTGGGACATTTATCGGGTTGAATATTGACATCGTAATGATGAACGAATCCCCGTGGCATGCATATTTGAAAATGGTTGGCTTTCAAGCCAATCGGGCGTCCTTCGCGTCCCAAATTGGGCCGTCGGGGACATTGAAACACTGGAGGCTCGGCCGGAGGAGAAACTGTTGCTAAAGGACCTGCAACTGCTGCCGCGCCTGCTGCTGTAGACGTTCCAGGAAGAGCGACTGCCGTGGTCGTGGGGCCAATAGGGGCACCGGACGTGCCTGCTAATTAATAACAAAATAAAACTGCATGAAAATGGGAACAAAAATTACATTACATGGCCTGCAAATAGAAGGTAGTTTAACTACTCTTAAGCTCTCACCCATGGTGTTTTCCATTCTATAAGCTAATGTGCAGCCAAACTAATATTTAGCTTGCAAAGGCAACAAGAGCAAAGCAAAACAGTCGGTACTCGGTCATAATACTAAACTTAATTGTTCAAATTTCACCTTCAGTTTATTGAACAATGTCATTGATATGGGTTTAGCTTGATTAAGTAAAATGCACGGGATTCACCTAATTTATTATCATGATAGTGAAATATTTCGATTGTTGACAGTATTTTTTAAATATACTTTTGTAATAATATAAAATATATAGGTGGGTACAGGAAATTCGTTTGGAATGGTTTGAATGCCTGTAGAACTGTGAAAACATTTTTTTAGAATTTTTTGCAAATGTCTAAAAAAGTATCAGAAATAAGTACCAGAGTTGCTTCCGACAATAATTCAAGCTTATTAATCTATATTAAAAAAATTTGACAGAAAGAAACAAACTTAACAATCATTACATTAATTAACAATTAAACAATGTTCAATGTGACCACCTCCAATTTCTTCCTCTGAAGCCTTTTGAAGTAACATTTGTCTACATAGTTAATGGCAAGCATTTGTGACTCTTTTTCTAAACGTTCCAAATTAACAGTTGGTGATCTGTAAACTTTTCCACGTTCCCCTAGAGAAGTTCAGTGGAGGTCAAATCAGGTAATTTACACGCCCACTCTACCGCTCCAATTTTCTTCATAAGTTTCATTTAATATTGTTGGACAATTGTGCCGAGCTTGTGTTTTCCGTTTCAAACACAAGCTCGGCAATTTTTCGATAAGTATGGGAAGAGGTTTTTGAAGAAATTGCAAATATCGCTGACTATTTGAAACTTTTTCGTAAAAATATGGACGCACCAAATCGTTAGTAATAATACAACAACAAACGTTAAAATTTCGGTCGCCCAAAAATGTTAATTTTTCTTGCTCATCACTTGATCTGACAATGTTCACAGCTGTGAGGTTTATAATCGTAAAAACAATTAAATTTTTAATGTTTGTCTTGAAATATATTTCAAATTCAACTCACGTTTTTTTGGACTTTTCTGCGCGTTTTTGGACTTTTTATAATTTTACACCCTTTTCAAAAAAACGCCGTGACATTTCCGATTCATCAATTCCATTTAAATTTTACAACTTTTAAGCTTAGAATAAGTCGTCCGGAGTATTTCTAGGCATAAATCTAAACTGTTTCACTAGAGTTTGTTTGAACATATCCACAAACTAGTAAGTGTTAAATAAATGTGTTGCCCATGTCTAAAGCGGGACGATTACGAATTCTTAAATTCGTTTAAATTAAAATTTAAAAAATGTACGAAAATTATTATGTTGAACATTTATATTATCCTTAATAGTGATTGAAAAAATCGAATTACACAATTATGAAAATAATCGGATTCAATTCAATTAGCTGTGAAAAACATATGGATTTAATTTCGTATTACGAAAGTGGTCTTTGATAACACGAAAACTTACTCAGATTTAATTTTAATTGAACCGTTAGTTTCTGTTGGTATGTTTAGATTTAAAAAAAAAACCTGCAATTTTGGTGAATTTTCATTGAAATTTCGGCAGTTTTCGAGTTTGTTTTAATTTTTCAAATTTGTGAAAACTTTCTTAAAACTCGTATGGTATTTGGAAACCGTTGGGGAAATGTTCAAAAGCACAACATCAATCTGTGATGTTCCTCATCAACGAAAACTGAAATTGCTCAAAATGTAATATAATTTCATATTACATTTTTCATAATATATTTTTTCCTTTGAACCTAAACTGATTATTGTGGAAATGTAAAAAACGCAATTAAACCTGTTTTAATTTCATATTGGGAAAAAAGTGACCTCTAGAAAACAAATTAAAAAGTACGGCGCGACGGTAACAAATTTTTAAGTCAAATGACTTTGTAAATGTGTTAAGTGCATTTACTTAGTTAGCATTAATTGCTTTTGTTGGTGTCATTCTGTCTTCAACGAGAAAAATATAGGATCGAGCAGATATTTAATTTTTTTTATGGATTTTACCATTGAAATCCCAAAACATTCACTTTTTGCTGTGAATATCAAAGCCATTATCCAAACAGAAGGATTCCAGATACTCATGTATTCATTAGTACACATCAGAAGTATCTAATAAGTCTAATATCACCCACCTACAGCACGTGTAAGATTTACATCCTGGGGATGCTTTTAAATCTGATGATATAGCTGTTGTCTCGCCGAAAGGTTATATGAAATAAACGATATGAACATTTTTATTTCACATTTTGACTGAACCCCAGGAAAGAAAAAATATAATAACAATTACACGCAATCAGGAAAGGAAGTTTATTAAACTCCAGTTTTAACCAGAGATGATTTAGTTTTACGAATTCAGCAAGCCCGCAATAATATACGGCAAAATCCCAATAAAGCTGTAAGAAATTTATTAGTTAGACGATGTCTAAAATGTATTGAAGTGGGTGGACTACATTTCGAAGAATTTCATTAATTTTTGTTGTGATACACCACCAATTAAATTTGTGATATATATAATATATAAATAATCTAAGAAAAAGGCTATCGACCCAATCGGTCTTTCTGCCCTAAATTTGTGATTTTCTTACGAAATATGCTTCCTCGGTCTGGGCAGTTATCGCATGCAAAAATTCGTTTACTTAAATATCTTCAGTCGTCTTGCTACAATTAAGTAATAAGTTAAATTTTTTGAAGCCAAACTAAAGAGCCTGTACATATCTCTTTAACGAAGCGTTTCTCGAAAATAGTTTATAATACAAACTTATATTGTTTTTCAATTCTCTATCGTTTCCGCTCTGGAAACTAGACCACTCTGTAAAGCCCTTCAAGAACCATTTTCTGTGACGAAGCCACATTTACAAGGAATGTAATATCAACGTTGATGTCATTTAAGAAACCCATTTTCCGAGAAGATTCTCTGAATTTGATTAGTGAAATGCACTGAACGTTTTTCGAGAAGGGTTTACCTTTATTACTTCAGGCCATTCCTCTTCAAAAGAGAAGGACGAGGTTCTCTTTACACGAAGAAGCTCTATTTATCCAAAAACTCAATTTTTTTATTACTTATTATCAGTTATTTTATTATTTTTACTTTAAACAGAATTGATTTATTGTTGTCGAAGTTGTGTAGGTACCTAATTATAAAAAAATATATATAAAATAAGGACGCTTTTTAGCTTTGAGAGTATTTGCTATCATTCGTGTATTTTTTTTTGCTCTAATAGATAGGCAATCCTAATTTGAGCTAACTTAGGCCTTACGCCTTCGGTAGGCAACTTAAAACAACACCATTTTCGCTCCACTTTTACGTGTTCTTCCCTCAATTACTTTTTCATTCAGTTTAATCACTATGACCAGTTAATAAACAGTTAACAAGCCAATAATGCATTGCAGAAGAACAATGTTAACTATTTTCTCCATCCTCATCTAGATCAATACATTTCAGTCTGTTCTGGCCAGGTCGACGACCTATGCAATGGGCCAAAGCTCTACAAGACCAGGCAATGTAAATAATTTCGTACATAACTGAAGGAAATTAGTTAATGCAATGGCACCTATTGAGTTATTTTAAACTATATGCATAGTGTTAAATTGTGGAATTTCAGCAGTTGAAAAACACCGGTTTCTGTCTGACAAAACTGGTGGAATGATGTGGTTTTTAATGCGTTTTAATATCCAAGAATATTTAGTGGTTTAACACCTTTTTGAGCATTTTATCATTTTAAAACTACATAGAGGCTTAGAAAGTTCTAATGTAGCTAACAATCTTTCGGGTGGCACGTTGTGGGCCCGAACCAACTCACAATCAACACATTGTTGTTAACTGGTCAACAGTAGCGATTAGACCACAACAAAATGCGTGGAGGATTTAGAGCCACAAAACACTTTATTAAGCAATGAAGTTTTGCTATAAATTTCCCAAGAGTGGTTCATGTGTACATGTTGAACTACCAAGGTAAGCAATAAAATTCGTCATATTAATGAATCTAAAAATAACGCAAATTATCCGAATTCTACGCAGAAACTGGCTGTAAAACATGAAATGCTACGAAAAACCAATGACCTTATTTCCACATAGTTCGCAGGCTTTAAAAGGCACTTGCTAGGTTAGCTTTTAAGTATCGGGGAATAAAGGCCTGGAACAAGGCCAGGCCAAGGCGTAAAAAGCAGCGTGCACAAAGCAGAAGAGCAGCTTAATTTACAAGCAAATTTGAAGAAACATCTAAGATAATAAGCCAGGTAAAGACAATTCAAAACAAAGAATGACAGTAGGAAAAAGCATCGTTGCAACATGGAAAAAAAGGGTTGCTGTGGATTTTTCCGTAAATCTACGGCATGCAACTTACGTCCTGCAGGTCCAGAATACATGTTTCTTTATAAATAATTAGTCACACAAGCACACGCACACCACGCACTATTTTTACCGAAAAAAATGTTTAGTGTTACCAAAGCACAACGGCCATTTGCAATTTGCTTCTTGTCGACTCGTCATCGACATGTAATGCACAAACCCACATTCGTCGTCTCTGTTAGACACCTTAAGTCTATGGTTGCATCCTCGGCGTGGACAAAATACATGAAACAGTCCCAATTTTGTTTTGAGATTAGCGATCGATAAGTGCTGCAGGGTGTTTTTTAGTACGGGTTAACTGATGAATTCCTCTTGCTAGTTGGATCTTTCATCTGGAGTATACAGGGTATTCGG